CTGTTTGATAGAACCCTGACACATTGTCTAGCGCTTATGAGCTCTCCCCGCCAAGGCCAAATGCAGCTCCCTGAAATCCTCCAGTCACCAACCCAGGTCTGGCTTTTGCCCAGAGAGAATCCAAGGGACTCAAGCATGCTTTCTGGCTGGAAACTTTTGTTGCAGTGCCAGCCCCGCTGCTGTGAGCCATAGCCAGTGAAGATGTTCTCTGAGTGCTTCCCGTTCCTGGCCTCTTTATGGTTGAGTGGAATCTTGTAACCAGGTCTGTTTAATGAGCTGTGAGAAATGATGAGTGTTATTTCTGGACCAAGCCTTTGATTGTCAAGTGAGAGTCCCCAGAGCTTTCTTTTCTCTTATATAACAACTAGCACTTGTCCAGACGAGGATTCTCCCTCCTCCTGGGCCCCAGAGTGAAGATGAGTCAGAGAAGAGACCCTAGTCAACCCACAACGGACTTGCAGCTTGAATGAGACTTAAATTTTTAAGATTGTTTCTTCCCTCAGCATAAGCTTTTTTTATCCTTACTGATGTACTTCACAATGGATAGACCTCATACTATTAGCACCACGCTGACTCATATGAAGCTAAGTTTGCCATGATCTGAACAGCAGGCTCAGTCTTGTTAAAGTAATCCCCTTGGTCCCAGCCCTGAACAACCCTTCATGCTTCCTTCCCCGGCTAGTGTGTGTTGAGCACTCAATCTCACAGGAAATCAGCAAGACACCCTCTTAATCCCATTCCCGAGAGAATGTTTGTCAATTGTGATGGTTTGAGCTGCAAGTGATAATAATCACGTTTGAGAGTAGCTTATATAAAATTTGCGTTTTCTTATTAAGAAATATGGAGACAGGTGCGGTCATCAAGTTGACTTGTGGATTCAACAATTTCATCAAAGATTCAAGTCCTTTTTATCTTTCTGTTTCTCCCAAGACTCAGCCAGAAGGCTTTTGACCTCAGGTTTGTAACTCCTGACTATAAGAGGCTGTCACTTTTAGAGGCATCTTATTTTTCACAGACCAGTATCCGAAGGATGATAGGGTAATAGGCCTGGCTCGCAATGCCATACTTTGTAATAAAGGAAGAATCTCTCAGGAGACTTCTCCTTAGGTCTCATTGGCCAGGTTCTGCATCACAGGTCTGCCACTAGGGATTCTCAAGACTGGCTTAGAGAATGCAAGATGCATTGGGACTGGGCATGTTGCTGTTCCAATGAAATCATTGTTCTGTTAGAAAAGGGGAGGAGGGAAGAACTCTTGTATAAGGAGCCAACAAAGTTTGCCAGAATAAAGGTTTTCCTTGGGAAAATGATCCAGGAACAACTAACTTTGGGAAACAGTTAAAACAGGCTTTGTTATTATAGGATATCTTAGAATAATTCAGACTGAGGCTAAACCTGAAGCTCCAATACTTGGGCTACCTGATGTGAAGAACTGACACAGTGGAAAAGACCCTGATGCTGGGAAAGTTGGAGGCAGGAGGAGAAGGTGATGACAGAGGATGAGATGGTTGGATGGCATCACCAACTTGATGGATATGAGTTTGAGCAAGCTCTGGGAGTTGGTGATGGACAGGGAAGCCTGCCATGATGCAGTCTGTGGGATCACAAAGAGTCAGACACAACTGAACGAGTGAACTGAACTGAACTAGAATAATCTGATTCTGTGTGAACTGTGAATCTCCTAGAGAGAGAGAGAGAGAGAAGTTGTGAGGCATCTTCCAGACTTATTTCATTTTGGTAGTGACCATTTTATTGCACTCATATAGAACCACTACAGTAATTTGAACCAAACTGACCAAGAGTTTGTAATGTTTTAACTTGAGTTGTATGAATGTTTCTTTCATATTATCTGTGAATAAGAGGTTTATTCAGCAAATTAATAGCTATTAAATGAAATCTGGTTATTTTACCTAATTATAGAAACAAACTGCTTTACTTTATCAATGTACTATATTCACTACTTTGCTTTTTCAAATATTACCTTACAAGTGAATATTAATTTTCAAGGTCTAAACCAGTCACTGGGGATTCCCCTGTGGCTTAGCAGTAAAGAATCCACCTGCAAAGCAGGATACGCGTGTTCCATCCCTGGATCAGGATGATCCCCTGGAGGAAGGCATGGCAACCCACTCCTGTACTCTTGCCTGGAGAATCCCATGGACAGAGGAGCCTGTGGACTGCTGTCCATAGGGTCACAGAGAGTCTGACATGACTGAAATGACTGAGTGTGCACAAACTAGTCCTTAAAAATAGGCTCAAAAAAGGTGTCTATTTAGGAACACTTTATAATAAATCTTTCAATTCAATCAAATTATCCTTTCAGTTAAATTTTAGCTCTCAGAGCAACATAGATCAAATCATTAGGGTAGCAGCTAGTGTTAAATACAGCTGAAGATACAATCCTGCCTTTCTTGGTAATATTATCAAATTTAGTATTTCCATTTATTCCAACTTTAAGCCTTCCTCTGCTCTATAATATATTCCAGGTAGGAAACTCTCCAGTCACACACAGCAGCCTGAGGACCTCTCACTCTTACCTTACTTTCCTGTGCACACCCTAACCCTAAACCATACCTGCAACATGAACAACCTTAACACAATGTTAGATCTTCAGCTAAAAAGAGTAGAAAGCTGAGACCAACAAAATTTCAATGGGAACTATATATGCCAATAGCTTTTTTGTGACACATGGAGTTTCTGATACTACCTTTTGTGAGTTGCATTAAAACTGGGTTGATTTAAATCTCAATGTTGCATAGAAATTTTAGTATCATCCTTTTGACAATAGACTTCTTAGATTTTTTGGCTTATTATATGTTAATGGTTTTAGAAGAAGTTTTGGCATATCCTAGATTTTTTTTTTCTTTTCATATCCTAGATTTTTAAAAACTTTTTGCAATTAAAAAGGATTTGAAGAAACCATACAGTTGAGTTGTGTTAATAGCAAACATGTGTTTATTTTTTTGTAAATGTGCATTTTCCTTTTTGACATCTACATAGTAATTTTCAAAGTATAATTTCTGAAACATATGGCTTAGCTGTTCTACACAGGTGTTATACTGCACTGGAGAATGTATTATGCTTCTATATATTCAAGCATGTGTTTCAAACCTACTCTTCTTAAAACAAACACTTCATAGACTTCCTGCTATTTATATCAAGAACATATACTTGGCCTTGGTATCACCTGCTCTTTTTAATACAAGGTATTGCCAGGAAACTTCTGGGAGCTTATGAAATCTACCAGAAATACAATGTTGATTTTGTTATAAAGGTGATTGAGTTGGTGAGGAAGTGGTTAAGAAAAAAAGCACCTTTATGATTGTAAATGTAGAATGAGATAACAATGTGTTACCCTTTTAAACCTTTCCTTATTATTTTACTCTCCTCACAAGCTTTTGTGTTTGTACTTAATTCAGTGTTCTAAAAATTATTTTCTCATACAATGCTTTAATCCCAGCTCTCATTTCAAGTATTTATAGTCTATGTACCAATAAAAATAACTAATCATGATAAAATCTTACATTGGATAAGTATTATCAAAGACTATTGTGTCATATTAAAATAACACTAGAGCCAACTTGAAGTGTTTCCACTGGCCAAATACAGGAATTATTGCATGAAAAAAAAGAAACAACTATAATGGATAAATAGGTATACATCAATATATAAACATCCATGAGTAGTCCCTAAATATAAACATGATTTAATTTACATTTATCCACTGGATAACTCTGCAACATACTGCTAATCAAATCATATTTATGCAAATAGATTAAGTAAAATCCTTCCACCCTAGATCTGAATATAAGGTGATAATAAACTGAAATTGTCTCTTTTAGGAAAACAAAGGTTCATATTCCTCATAAGAGAGGAAGAATACTAGTCTTCTCAAATCTGTAGAACACAAAAGATCACAAGACTGTTGTCTGTATTAGAGTTCTCCAGAGAAACAGAATACATATATATATACTATTGTTAGGTTACTAAGTTGTGTCTGACTCTTTTGCGACTCCATTGACTCTTTTGCCTGCCATGCTACTTTGATCCCAGACAAGGGTACTGGAGTGGATTGCCATTTCCTCCTCGAGGGGAGTCTTCCCAACCCAGGGATCGAACCCGTGTCTCCTGCCCTGGCAGGTGGATTCTTTACCACTGAGCCACCAGGGGAGCCGTGTTTATACACTTTGTTCTTTACACTGAGCCACCAGGGGAGCTGTGTATATATACTTTGTACTTTGTTATAAAGAATTGGATCACAAAATTATTGACGCTAACAAATCCCACAATCTGCTGTCTGCAAGTTGGAGACCCAGGAAATCCAGTGGTATAGTCAAGTTCAAAGGTCAAAAAGACCAGAAAGAGTCAATGGTATAAATCCCAGTCCAAGGGCAAAAGGCGATGTCCCATCTTATATAATTAGAGAGAATTCTCCCTCCACCTTTTGGTTCTCTTGATGCTCACCCACATTGGGGATGGTAATCTGCTTTTCTTAGTCTACTAGATTCAAATGCTAATCTTATCCAGAAATACCCCCACAGACATGCATAGAAATAATGTTTAACCAAATATCTGGACCACCTCCCCATGGCCCTTGTCAAGTTGACGCACAAAATTAACCATCACGCCATCCAACTTCAGATCCATGGTTCATCTAAGCTGGTGATTCTCACTCCCAATTGCGTATTGGAAGAACCTGTTTGGATTTCACCTCCAGACATTCTGACTGAATTGTTCTGAGATGTGGCCTGGCATTGGTATATTTGAAAATCTCTGCCAAGTAATTCTAAAGCGCAGCTGTCATTAAGAACCATTGGGTGGGTTGCGGGGGGCGGTGTGAGTGGGGCCGCATCGCGCGGTCTCGGGGACCCCTGGAGGGTGGGGTTGCGTTCTAGGTTGGGAGGATGAGGCGCGCCGCGGAAGGACTCGGGTTGAAGGCAGCAAGTCCCGGGTCTGAGCCCAACGCCTGTCCACTCTCCGTCTTGCAGAGGCCGCCGCGACCATGGGCCGCGAATTTGGGCATCTGACACGGGTGCGGCATGTGATCACCTACAGCTTGTCGCCCTTCGAGCAGCGCGCCTTCCCGCACTACTTCAGCAAGGGCATCCCCAACGTGCTGCGCCGAACTCGGGCGTGCATCCTTCGCGTCGAGCCGCCGTTCGTAGTGTTTTATCTTGTCTACACATGGGGAATGCAGGAGTTTGAGAAATCGAAGAGGAAGAATCCAGCTGCCTATGAAAATGACAAATAAGCAACTCATCTGGATAATGGTTCCTTGTCTCTGAAAGACCCTTCTCTGGGAGAGGAGTGTATATTGTAGTGTCTTGAAGACACAATAAACTTATTATGGACTTCAAAAAAAAAAAAAAGAACCATCGGAGGGGACTTTCCTGGCATTCTAGTGGTTAATACTCGAGCTTTCAATGTTGGGGTCATGGGTTCGATTCCTGGCAGGGAAATAACATTCCACTTCCACACTGTGTGGCTCCCCCAAAAAAGAACCATTGCAATCTAACTTCATTTTATCTCTGGGAGAGGGGCTCTATGGTACAGGAATGAGACAGCCTGTCCTTCAGGAAATACATTTAAAAACACCATCACCAGCAATAGTAACAAGCCACTAAATACCTGATATGCCAGATCAGGTAGTATGACTCATTTAATCCTTTGAAAAGCACTATAAGAGATGCATTATTATCCTGATTTTTGTAATAGAAAAATAACAAATGGTAAATAAGCTGAAGCACAGGGAAGTTAAATAAATTACCAATAGTACAATATTGTAAAGTAATTAGCCTCCAACTAATAAAAATAAATGAAAAAAAAAATTACCAATAGTCACGCAGCCAGTAAATAGTGAAACCAGTACTCAAACTAGGTCTTCATCCATGCAAAGCCCATACTGTTCACAATATCACACTTCAGATGACTGTCTTCCTGGCTTCCTAGCTAAAAATAAGTTGCTATCTAGGCTGAACAGGTAACTGCTCAGCATCAGCCTGTGGTGACAAATGTTTTAGTTATTTTTCATTGAAGAGTCACCTCTAGGGAGGTGAACATGATCAGGTTCACCTTTTTAGGTTACAGGAAGAAGGCATGTATGAGCCTGGTTTGCATGAGAGTGCACGTGGTTGCACTGTCTAACTAAATCACTAACTAATGGTACTGTTTTAAAACATAGATTTTAAGTGCTGTGATCAATATTTAATAACCGTAAATTACCTCTTTCAGTAGAGAACTGAGAATTTCTGTATAGGAATTTCCTTGAGGACTCAATTTGGTGGAAAGAAGGAACTAACAGTCTTCTCATAAAACTACTTTTTCAATGCCCTTTCCATAGGAATGAGAAAACGTGAACTGTCCAAGATCAAAGAATTGTAGGGGAAAACCAGTGGAAATTGTAGAAATGCAAAAACCCCTCCACCCTAAAAACCCTACCTGTCACTGCTACTGTATCTCAGATAGGCAAGGATGTTTATGGAACCATCCAACTGAGGCCAAAAGGAAGTGATTAGATACTCTATACGCTGTGTCTTTATTATTAAATATTATTACTATGATTATCTCTCTCTAAAGAAATCTCTTGGAGTTCCCATACATCTTCACTTCTTCCACTCTCAGAGTCCAGGTTCTAACTACGTTTAACAGCTTCCTAGCTAACTGCTTGCCCCCATCTCTCTTTCCATTATTCTCCCCTGACCATTGCTGCCAACCTCATGATCCACTCTCACACCTATCTTTTGTTTGGTTTCCTATTTTTAATTGAAATGAAAGGAAGAGCCTGGTGAGGTCCTAAGTGGGTGTATGGAAGGAGGGTCCTGCATCACTGTGGTGGGGATATGAGGAGCTGAGAGACAAATTCCAGAATGATGTCCTGGAAGGGACACTAAGGTCAAGGTAGGGCAACTGGCCAAGCCAGGTTGCCCTTCCCAAGGGCAAGGTGAGCCATAAGTGTGGGAAATGGAGCCCAAACAAGGACGAGAGAGCAAGAACGCGTGTGAGAGGCTGTCTAAATGAATGCTGGAGACACAATGCTAATGATAGTAGCATCTTTGTGTATGAAGTACCAGCATGGCTAATTCAGGTTTATTTAAAGCACCTGGAATGGTATGGATGCCTCTTCTCTGACTCCAATACTCTAGCATACTTCTAATCAGGGGGGCTCTTTTGCCCATATAAACCCTGATGACCCATCACTGGGGTGGGCTGTGTGTCACTGGGATTCTGAGACTTCTTCCTCCCATCAGATGTTTCTTACTTGTCTGGGACTGTCTGGAAAGCAGTGGTGCTTCAGTAATTCTAGACTGGCTCCCAGAAGCATCGCCTTCTTCTAAACTTCACAATACCTGAAGCCCAGGATGCTTCACAGCACACTGACTGTCACAGATACTTAGGAAAACAAGCCGTGGAGCACTGGGAAGCCTTGCCCCAGAGTTTCAGTCAGTCTGGAAAACAGGGAATTTCACCACGATCTTTGTTTTTGCCAGAATCTAACCAGGAAACAGAAATCACCTGGGCATTCATTAATAGCTATTTCAAAACTGGGAATAAGTTACACGGTAATGGAGGGACTGAGAGCCAAATAGAGGACAGGGAGGCAACCCAGAGAATAACTCACAGAAGGAGTTATTCTGTGAGAATACTCACAGGAGGAGGCCATTAAGACTCTTAAGTTACAGGGACAGAGGAGGAGGTAACATGACTGGCCCCTGGACAAAAACTGAGACCATGGCAGGACTGTTCATGGGCGAAACGTCACTGCTTCTGGAGTCTTTGCCCCAGCAGTGTCTCAACATTGCCTCTGATTGACCATGAAAATGAAAGTGAAGTGAAAGTCGCTCAGTCGTGTCTGACTCTTTGCAACCCCATGGCTGATACAGTCCAACACAGTCCATGGAATTCTCCAGGCCAAAATACTGGAGTGGGTAGCCTTTCCCTTCTCCAGGGCATCTTCCCAACCCAGGGATCAAACCCAGGTTTCCCACATTGCAGGCGGATTCTTTACCAGCTGAGCCACAAGGGAAGCCCAGGAATATAAGGGAAGCCCAAGAATACTGGAGTGGGTAGCCTATCCCTTCTCCAGTGGATCTTCCTGACCCAGGAATTGAACTGGGGTCTCCTGCATTGCAGGCAGATTCTTTACCAACAGAGCTACCTGGGAAACCCAATTGACCATATTGAGCTGGAACCAGCAGAAGTGGAAGGCTGAGAAATGCAGCCTGCAGGGGGCAGCCTCCTGCAAATGCAGAGCAGAGTGGGGTTCAAGTGAAGAACCTACCTAAGGCAGCATGCCCTAGAGAGACTACTCGCTCCTCACTGTTAATCAAAATTCAGGGCCCTCAGACACACTTCCATATCAGTATTGCTCCTTGTTTCACTGCCCCATCTCCCACAGTTTATTCTTATACTTCTGCAAGTTTATGCCAACCCCTCCACTGTGCCTCATGGAGCCTCCACTTTGTGCCCTCAGCTTCTTCTCCAAACTCTCTCTGACTTTAATTGAATCACAACTCCCTCTTAGCAAAAACCTTGGATCATTCATTCTTCAATCATTCAACAGTGATCTGTTGAATGGGAAGTAAATCAATGATAACTAACCCTCCACTGTCATTTGTGTGTTATACATATTAAACCCTGCCATTCTCATAGCCACCTATCTTCTGTTTTACAGATGAGAACATTGAAACATGGAGTACGTAAGAAACTTGTTCATAACATAGCTGATGAGTGGCCAGGACAGAAATTAAATATACAGCCAGGCTCTAGAAATCAAAGTCTTATCCAGCATGTCTGGAAAGTAGCATTCTCTTCTAGGAATGGATATACTGCCAAGATGATTCCTGCTGATGGAGTTCAGTGGAAGAAGATATTTTTATCTTCTCATTTTGAAATAGTTTTACAGAACAGTTGCAAATAGTGCAGAGAGTACCAGTATATGCTTCCCCCGTCTCCCCTAATGTTAGCATCTAACATAACCATAGAATGTTTATCACTAAGCATTAACATTGGTGCAATACTCCTAACTGAACTACAGATTTTAATAGACTTCACCAGCTTTTCCACTAATATTTTTGTTCCAGGATTCCACACAGGACAGAACATTGCATTTAGTCAGCAACATCTTCCCACTCTCCTCCAATCTGTGCCAGTTTCTCAGACTTCTTTTTTTTTTTTAATGACCTTGAGACTCTTGAAAATTAAAGGTTAGGTAGCTTGTATGAAATCCCATAGTTTGGGTTTGTCTGATGTTTTCTCACAATAGACTGGAGTGATGGACTTTTTGGATGAATAATCTAAAGGTACAGTGCCCTTCTCACATCATGTCAAGCGTACATATTATAAACATGATTTATCACCAGTGATGTTAACCTTGATCATTTAGTGAAGGTGGTGTATGTCATATTTCTCTACTGTAAAGTTACTATTTTTATAGTAACTATTTTCATATTCTATTAGTTAGAAGGGAAGTGATTAAGTGTAGCCTACACTCAGGGTGAGAGGAATTAAGTTTTATTTCCTGGTGTGTGGGAGCAACTGCCCTTATTATTTGCAATTCTTCTGTAAGAAACATTTGTCTCTTCTCCTCCCATTATTTATTTATTTGATCACATATATCAGTATGGCTTCATAGGTGTTTGTTTTACTCTTTAAATTATAACTTAATACTATCATTATTGTTATTTATCAATATTCTGTTGCAAAGCTGTTCCAGCTTTGGCCATTGGGAGCTCTTTAAGGTTGATTGCTATGTCCTTTTCACGTATCACCATTTTTAAAAGCACTTCGTTGTTTTCTGTCACCATGAGATGCTACTCTAGGCTCATCTGCATTCTCTCTGTCCCTAGAATCATCATTTGTCCAAGGATCCCTTACTCCTTTTATTGAGAAAGATGTTAGAAACCAAGATGTGGGTGCTAGATGTGGTTCTAGGCTCTCTTGGTGCTAGAAAATATATGTATGTATGTATACTACTCCATGCATATGCACACAAGAAGAATTAGAGTAAATGAAAGCACCAATAGGTTGTTACACATAAGCTATGAAGAAAAATGCCACATTCTATTTAATGAATTACAAGTGTTATTTACTATAAATGAGGCAAGGCAGTGGCCGTGTGATCTTCTTCGTAGCAGGAATACATAAGCCAGAATCTTACAAATGAACAAGAATTAGCCAGACCAAAAGGGAAAGGAGAGAGCGTTTTAGGCAGAAGGAACAGCCCCTGAAGAAACACTGTGTAGGAAGAGCTTT